GGACGGCCCACACCACGGGGACTTCCACCACGACATGGAGATGCCACGGCCAGAGGAGTACTTCACCAAGCCTCCCAAGCATGATTTTCCAAAGTTCGACGGCTCCGCGCCGTACCTATGGATCGATCGCTGCGTCGCCTACTTCGAGCTGTACCGCGTGCCTCCCCACAACTGGGTGACCACGGCGACGCTGTACATCGAAGGACAGGCAGCCCACTGGCTTCAAGCGTATCGTCAGGCTCATCGTGCTCTGGGCTGGGACGCTTTCTGCGCGGCGATCCGCAAAGAATTTGGGGCGGAGGAGTTCGAACTGGAGATGAATCAGCTGCTGCATCTGCGGCAAACCGGCACGGTGGCAGAGTATCGATCGGCCTTTGAAGCTCACATGTACCATCTACTCGCCCTTGATGCCTCGCTGAGCCCACGCTTCTTCGTTACCCAGTTCCTCCTCGGATTACGGGACGATCTTCGCGCAGCGGTACGCCTTCAGGCTCCGACCAGCATCACGCGTGCTTCGGTGCTGGCTCGCATCCAGGAGGAAGAAAACGACGTGCGCTGCCCACGCCCTCGACCGATCCCAGCCGGGCGGCCCCCGCCTCTGCCCGCCGCGATTCCCCCGCGATCACCCGCAGCGGCAGCGGTGGCTCGGCCGGCCAGCGACGAGTTCGCTCGCGAGCGTCAACTCCGCGACTTCAGGCGTGCCAACGGGCTCTGTTTCAAGTGCGGCGACAGATACTCCCGCGAGCATCGTTGCAAGCAACAGACGCAATTGCTCACCATCCAAGTGGGCGACTACGGCGAGGTGCTCACTGACGATGCCATGCACGCCCTCGACCTGTTGGACGCACCGGAGCCGGCGCAACCTGCACCAGAGTGTTGCCTCATCTCCACTCATGCGGTCTCTGGCGGGGACTCACCGCGCACTATCCGCCTTCGCGCCATGGTGGGAAATCAGGTGATGCTGCTGCTCGTGGACTCGGGCAGCACACACAGCTTCATATCCCAGGCGTTCGCGGAACGGATCAAGGCCACTGGTATACCTCTGCCGCTCGTGGAAGTGCGTGTCGCCAATGGGGAGCGCCTGGTTTGCGACAGCATGATCCCGGCTGTCCAGTGGTGGTGCCAAGGACACACATTCAGTACGGACATGCGCCAGCTTGCGCTCGGGGCATACGACGGCGTGCTAGGCATGGACTGGCTCAAACAAAACAGCCCCATGAACTGTCACTGGCTGGACAAGACCATCTCCTTCGCGCACCTGGGCAAGACCGTCACACTGCAAGGTGTTCGACCCAAGGGCACAACTACCAACATCGACTACATCGAGCCGGATCAGTTCGCCAAGTGGCACGCCGGCAACGATATCTGGTACATGGCAGTCGTGGACTGGCGGGCGCCGAGCACGGACAAGGACAAACCACCTCCACCAGCAGTGCAAGCGGTCCTCGAAGACTTTGCCGACGTGTTTGGCGACCCCAAGAAACTGCCACCACACCGGCAGTATGATCATGCCGTCACCCTGGTGGAAGGCGCACCACCGGCGAACGGGCGGCCGTACCGGTACTCGCCGTTGCAAAAGGATGAGATCGAGCGCCAAGTCGACGAAATGCTGCAGTCCGGTGTCATCACCCACAGCGTGAGTCCCTTCGCGGCACCAGTTCTCCTCGTCAAGAAGAAGGACGGGACTTGGCGTTTCTGCATCGATTACAGGCGGCTCAACGACATCACCATCAAGAACCGGTTTCCCTTGCCGATCGTCGACGAACTGCTCGACGAACTGGCCGGCGCGGCTTACTTCTCCAAACTCGACCTCCGCGCCGGCTATCACCAAATCCGTATGCGAGAAGAAGACGAGCACAAGACCGCGTTTAAAACGCACCATGGCCACTTTCAGTTTCGAGTAATGCCGTTCGGCCTGACGAACGCACCGGCAACCTTCCAGTGCCTGATGAATGCAATCTTCGGCAAGCACGCGCGCAAGTTCGTCATCGTCTTCCTTGACGACATTCTGGTCTTCAGTGGCACCCTGGAAGAGCACGTCGAGCATCTGAGGCAAGTGTTTGAGCTCCTTCGTCAGCATGAATTGTTCGTCAAGGCCTCGAAGTGTTCCTTTGCGCAGGATAGCATTGAGTACCTGGGGCACATCATCTCCAAGGAAGGAGTGGCCATGGACGCCGACAAGACCCAGGCGATGCTGCAGTGGCCGGTGCCCATGACAACCACTGAACTCCGCGTGTTCCTCGGTTTAACTGGCTACTACAGAAAGTTTGTAGCACGCTATGGCATCATTGCCAAGCCGCTCACCAACTTACTGACGAAGAAGGGCTTCACCTGGTCTGAACAAGCACAAACGGCATTCGATCTGCTCAAGCGCGCCATGGCAAGCACACCTGTTCTCGCTCTGCCGGACTTTGACAAGCCGTTCGTAGTCGAGACCGACGCATGTGACACTGCCATCGGCGCGGTGCTCGTCCAGGAGGGTCATCCGGTGGCATATTTCAGCAAGGCACTGGGTGTTCGGAATCAAAAACTGTCTGCATATGAGAAAGAGTTTCTTGCAGTGATGATGGCCGTGGAGAAGTGGCGTGCTTATCTTCAGCGCGGGCCATTCACCATCCTTACAGATCACAAAAGCCTGTCCAATTTGGGGGACCAACAACTGGAGACAGATCTGCAACGCAAGGCTATGTCCAAACTAGTGGGGTTGCAGTTCACATTTCAGTACCGAAGAGGAGCGGACAACGGGGCAGCTGACGCTCTGTCGCGGGTGGGCGCTGCCCTGAGCATGGCTGCGCTCTCCCTCTGCCAGCCAGTTTGGGTGCAAGAGGTCGCCAATTCTTACGCGACGGATGCCACAGCCCAGACGAGGAGGGGTTCGAGCTGCACAAAGGATTGATTCGCCGCGGTGACAGGCTCTGGATCGGCAGCAACACGGCGCTCCGCACAAAGCTCATCAGTGTGTTCGATGACAGCGCGGTGGGGGGACACTCCGGCATCACTGCCACGCACCAGCGTGTCAAGAAGCTCTTCCTCTGGCCTGGGCAGAAGCGCGACATCGACGACTTCGTCAAGCAATGCCTGGTGTGCCAGCAGGCGAAGCACGAGCACTGCCGGCCGCCTGGACAATTGGCTCCCTTGCCTGTTCCCACGGCACCCTGGCAGGAGCTCACGATGGACTTTGTCGAGGGGCTGCCGACCTCGGAAGGATACGACTCCATCATGGTGGTCGTCGATCGCCTTACCAAATTTGCACACTTCATCCCCCTCCGTCACCCATTCAACGCCACCAAGGTGGCACGAGCATTCTGGGACAATGTCGTCAAGCTCCACGGCGTGCCAAATTCGATCGTCTCCGACCGCGATCGCGTCTTCACCAGCGCGCTCTAGCGCGAGCTGTTTGCGGCCACAGGCACCAAGCTGTTGTACTCTACGGCTTACCACCCGCAGACGGACGGCCAAAGCGAGCGGGTCAACCAATGCATGGAGATGTACCTGCGCTGTGCGATCCACGACGACCCCAGTCGCTGGCGCCGGTGGCTTCCAGCCGCGGAATTCTGGTACAATTCCTCCTTCCACGCCTCCCTTAACTGCACCCCGTTCAAAGCTCTGTATGGCACCGAGCCCAATTTGGGGGCCACAGCACTCTGGGACGACAAGCCGGCGCCGGTCCTCGACAACGAGCAGTGGGACTGGGGCGCGCACACCGCCCGTCTTCGTCAGCAACTGCCGCGAGCTCAGCAACACTTCAAGAAGAAGGCGGATCGCCATCGCACGGAACGAAGCTTTCAGGTGGGCGAGGACGTGCTGCTGAAGCTTCAGCCATACGCGCAGTCCTCCGTCGTCAATCGACCCTGCGCCAAGCTGGCCTACAAATTCTTCGGGCCATTCAAGGTGGAGGCCAAGATCGGGACCCTCGCCTACAAATTGATGCTGCCACCGGACAGTCGCATCCACAACGTCTTCCACGTCTCCCAACTGAAGCCGTACACGCCCAACTACACGCCGGTCTTCGCTGAGCTGCCCAAGCCACCGGACCTGACTCTGGTGGAGACGGCGCCCGTGGAGATCATCGACAGGCGCATGGTGAAGCGCGGCGACGCAGCTCTGGTTCAAGTTCAGGTGCGCTGGAACTCCGCTTCACCAGCAGCCGTGACATGGGAGGATTTCGAGACGCTCAAGCTTCGTTTCCCGGCCGCCGCAATCTGGAGAGAGCCGGCCGGAGCGCCAGGTGACGCTCCTTCTGATGGAGGGGGAAATGTCACACCTGCACCCACTAGTGCCACGGTGGACCTGATCAGCCAATAGGAGGAGGAGGAACAAGTCATCGGGCCAAGTAAGCATCGGGACAGAGTCGCGAGAGGCTACTTTACATGCCCCTGCGTGGGCGCGTGAGTGATGTGTGTGTATTGAGTTCTCTCTGTCGTCTACCTGTATCTGAACCTTCCTCTCATCCCAGTAAAGCTACTTTCCCCGTCTCTGAATCTCTCCCCCATTCCCCTCGTGCGATCTGCTCGTGTGGATCGTCACAGCGGGGAGTCGGCCTAGTGGACCGCGGTTCCCGCTTTGGTGGGTTGGGTCACAACTGATTTGGCCTGACGGTGGCGAGCGCCGATCGATTGATTGCAAGCCCCTGATGATGTGCTCGCTCCGCTGTGTCATCTAAAGATTACTAGTTTTGTTCATGATCTGTTCAGTGTTATTTTATTACTGCATTGGTAGGGATCTAGTGCACTGCCACCTAGTTTATTTTTTGCATAGTGCGTTGATCCCAGGCTCGCTGATGCGTAGGAGCAATTCATGTGGTTCTACAGATCGTCACCGATAATGCGGGGTGAAGAGGAAAAGGCTCATGAAACCCAGTAAATTTCTTGCTGGTTTAGTGCGCTTGTGTTCATCTTGTCGATTATATTAGGAGAAAACGCCCTTCCATGCTTCTTGTACTGATTCTGATTCTTAGGTTTTTACTTGTTGCTTTTCTAGGCATGTGTGTGTTCGTGTAGATTCACACAAAGAAATACCTGCCACGTGCAGGTTGGTTGTGGGGTTCGTTTGCTATTTTTCTTAGTGTTTCCATGTGCAAGAGAGGTAGTAGCTCTCTACCTTCAACGGAGTAGCCACATGGTTGACTACCAACCTTATACTTATGTTGTTGCTTGTTGGCCTGCTCCTTATAGTTGTCATGCTTGTGGTCGATTCAGCCGGGGAACAACAACGCCGTCGTCGCCGGTGGCATGGATACCATGTCCAATGCCCCCAAATACGCTGCAACAGCAAGGTTCCTACTAACTTAAGAAGAATGGCTCTGTAACTGTCGGCAGCTCTTCTAGTATAAAGTTTGTTGTTTACGTATTCTGACTAGTCGTTTACTATCTCTGTAGATAGTTTCTTAGATGGAAACCACGCAGAGTAGTTAGTGTACAGCCAGAGTCCTGTATGATATCTCAATCTTGAGTAAAGCATTTGAATTTAAGCTAGTAGATATTGAGCTCTGTGATTGAAGTGTCTCTGTTGAATACATCTAATCTGAAAAAATTTCACATTTGCTTCTCTGATAAGTAAGGTCTGTTTTCATTTACAGATAGAAGATAGCAACGGAGTGGTAAGATTTGTGCAGAGATCTTCTCCTCCATCGTCGTCTGCGACAAAGCTACTGGGTGCATCCGTCCATCTTCAGATCTGAGTGAAGAGGGCATCCGTCCATCTCAAAAGGTTTAATTTTTGTACCAGCTAATTAACTTGTCTTTTCATCAGTTCCTCCTTGAGTAATTGGAAAGGGAATTATATTAGACTGCTAGCTGATTCTTGGTGAAAATTGCTTTGCCTGTATGTATGTATGTATGTAGAGAGTCTTGTAGCAATTATTCTTAGAGTAAACCAAAGCAGTATTCGATGATATATTGTGAGTCACTGAAAATGTATACTGTTTTTTTCTTCAGGATATGGATGACTATCTGAAAGTATGCAGGTTTCTTTCCAAACTTAACAACGGGATACTAGGTGAAAGAAATGCTGCCTACAAGGAGAGGTTGAGCAGCCTAGAGAATTTAGTACTGATCATGGTAAGGTTGACAAAGCCTGAAATCTCATTTTGATCCACGTTCAAAGATTACATGGTAGCATATATACTTGAAATTGGCATGGAATATCGAAATTCAAAATAGACTTCGCCTATTCCCTGTTTTGAAAAGCAGTGGGAATTGATTTTCTGAATTCCTTGGTTGTCTATTTCCCTATCCATGCAACAATAAATGTAGAACAGAATGTTAACCGTCAAATATTTCAAGCATATATAGCTCAAATACACAAGTATTAATTTCTTGTATACACCAAAACAACAAGATAGCATGAACACGTATAGCTAGGGTATGCATTTAGTAGGTGTCTTTCCGTTTCGAAGATTCATAATAGACTAAAAGAGACTGATAAATGAAGAAAATACCCAACTGGGTCTGCACAAGTACCCGAACTAACAAGTTTTCACTTTCCCGACGTGGGCGCAGGGGTGATCGACGTGGACTACCGCGACCTGGTGGGCATCGTGCTCTTCAACCACTCGGAGACGGACTTCGCTGTGAAGCCCGGCGACCGCATCATAGAGATGATTGTCCAGGTGATTGCGGCGCTGGAGGTCGCCGAGGTGGAGGACCTTGACGCCACCGTACGGAGTCGTCGAGGTGGAGTACCTTGACGCCACTGTCTGGACGTTGCCCAGGTGAAGGACCTCGACGCCTTGGTAGATACATCTAGAGAAGTGGTCTACTTAGGTTGGTGGTGGAACGCTAGGGAAGGTACCTACCTTTCGGTGATGATGTTTGTGTGCGTCTGAGGTATAAATGGGATCTCGTGATCTCTTTGAATTGAGATGTTCAATGTTGTATCCATGAACGCTGCAAGTGCTAAGTAAGAATGTAAGTGTTAAAATGGTTCTGTGACCTTCATTTATTTTGCCATGGATGTGTCTTGATTTGTATCCATGAATATTGCATCTAAATTTTATTTTTTTGGATTTCTAATTACTTAGCAGTAGCGTGGGGGAAGAATCATATTCTACTAGTACTTAGGAATAGTAGTAGCGTGGGTTAGGAATAGTAGTAGCGTGGGTTGCACGCGCTACTGCTAAAATTTTTAGCAGTAGCGCGGGGTAAAAAACACGCTACTGCTAAAATTTAGCTGTAGCGCGCTACTGCTATACAAAAAACCTACGTTACTGGTAGCGTTTTTCCTAGTAGTGAGGCTATGCGTGAGTCCCTCGTACTTGCACAAAATAAATAAATCCTCGCAACCAACGCGAATAGGGGTTGTCAATCCCTACACGGCCACTTACGAGAGTGAGATTTGATAGATATGATAAGATAATATTTTTTATATTTTTGTGATAAAGATGCAAAGTAAATTAAAGGCAAAGTAAAAAGCTAAGGAAATAACTAAGTAGTAGGAGATTAATATGATAAAGATAGACCCGGGGGCCATAGGTTTCACTAGTGGCTTCTCTCGAGAGCATAAGTATTCTACGGTGGGTGAACAAATTACTGTTGAGCAATTGACGGAATTGAGCATAGTTATGAGAATATGTAGGTATGATCATGTATATAGGCATCACGTCCGAGACAAGTAGACCGACTCCTGCCTGCATCTACTACTATTACTCCACTCATCGACCGTTATTCAGCATGCATCTAGAGTATTAAGTTAAAAACAGAGTAACGCCTTAAGCAAGATGACATGATGTAGAGGGATAGACTCATGCAATATGATGAAAGCCCCATCTTGTTATCCTTGATGGCAACAATACAATACGTACCTTGCTGCCCCTACTATCACTGGCAAAGGACACCGCAAGATTGAACCCAAAGCTAAGCACTTCTCCCATTGCAAGAAAGATCAATCTAGTAGGCCAAATAAAACTAATAATTCGAAGAGACTTGCAAAGATAACCAATCATACATAAAAGAATTCAGAGAAGATTCAAATATTGTTCATAGATAGACTTGATCATAAACCCACAATTCATCGGTCTCAACAAACACACCGCAAAAAAAGATTATATCGAATAGTTCTCCACAAGAGAGGGGGAGAACATTGTTTTGAGATCCAAAAAGAAAGAAGAAGCCATCTAGCTAATAACTATGGACCCGTAGGTCTGAGGTAAACTACTCACACTTCATCGGAGGGGCTATGGTGTTGATGTAGAAGCCCTCCATGATCGATGCCCCCTCCGGCTGAGCTCCGGAACAGGCCCCAGGATGGGATCTCGTGGATACAGAAAGTTGCGGCGTTGGAATTAGGGTTTTGGCTCCGTCTCTGATCGTTTGGGGGTACGTAGGTATATATAGGAGGAAGGAGTACGTCGGTGGAGCAATAGGGGGCCCACGAGGGTGGAGGGCGCGCCTGGTGGGGGTAGGCGCGCCCCCTACCTCGTGGCCTCCTCTTTCGTGTCTTGACGTAGGGTCCAAGTCTCCCGGGTCTTGTTTGTTGAGAAAATCATGTTCCCGAAGGTTTCATTCTGTTTGGACTCCGTTTGATATTCCTTTTCTTCGAAACCCTAAAACAGGCAAAAAACAGCAATTCTGGACTGGACCTCCGGTTAATAGGTTAGTCCCAAAAATAATATAAAAGTGGATAATAAAGCCCAATAATGTCCGAAACAGTAGATAATATAGCATGGAGCAATCAAAAATTATAGATACGTTGGAGATGTATCAAACCTGCAATACAACATAATTAACTTTAGCACGAGGACCTATGAAGTTCTAGTAATTTGCATTTGGTACATGACACACATACCTGACACCAGGAACTAGCATTAAAATTTATTTTTAGATTTAGACTATCGTAGAGTCTTCTCATTTCAAATCAACAAGATAGGAAGAGTGAAATACCTTGGTGCAGATTGACAATGACAACACAGATTTGTTGCCACAAATACTTGAGCCAACTTGCTCTGTGGAGAGTCATCTGCCTATTGCCTTACATATCTTTCAAGTAGCAATCCTATTGCCTTACATATCTTTCAAGTAGCAAAATTGCATCAATGGCAATGCAGCTCTGAGAATTTCAGGTTCAAGATAAATGGCGGATTCAAACAACTTCCTTGTCTACAAAAGAGGCAAATATATTTATAGCTCACCGAAGGGAAAGCATATAAAGTAAATCATGAGAGATGTCGTTTGCAGAAAGCTTACCCTGATTGCGACTAACTTCAGATCCACTGCACATTGGTCCATAATCTGCATTGCTTCATGTGAAGTGAATAATGCATCTTTGCATTATGAAGTGCTTGATAAGCACAAACCTAGGGAGAGCCTCCTAGCGCAATAGCGAGTGCATTCTGTTTCCACTCAAGCAACCTAGGTTCGAATCTTCCCACCTATCTAACAATGGAAGTTAAGGGAGGGAACTCCCCCCCTTAGCCACGTTTTGAAAGCACGAACCAAACCTGAGAATATATTGTGTTAGGATCAATTAACAAAGCAAAAAATGATCATAACATATACACATCTATGGCATAGAGAAGAAGAACTGAACTTTGTTGTGGACAGCAATGAGGAAATAAAAGTAACCATAAAATCTAGTATGAAGGCAAGAAAAACTGAAAACATATTTGTAAAATTACCTTAGCTGTTCATAACGGAGATCTTCCGAATTGCTCAGATACATTGCCTTGGACTGGGGGCGACTTGGTTTTTTGAATATGTTCCCTGAACCAACGAAAGGGAAAGCCAAACTAAATAAAGATAATTCCTACCATTTGGGGTTGTCTTCTTTTATTTTGGTTCCGTAGTTGGACCTTGATTGTACTCTGGATGATGTATGTTTAACTTGTTACTTGTGTGAAGTGGCGATTGTAAGCCAACTCTTTATCCCTTTCTTATTCAGTACATGGGATTGTGTGAAGATTACCCCTCTTGCGACAAAACCACCATGCGGTTATGCCTCTAAGTCGTGCCTCGACACATGGGAGATATAGCCGTATCGTGGGTGTAACACAACCCGACGTGTTAAAGGGGTTGTCAATCCCTTTCTGGTAACGATGCCAGAAAATTTTAGTAGATTGAAATAATAGATCACAAATAAAATAAAGTGCAACAACGTATTTTTGTATTTTTGGTTTAATAGATCTGAATAAAAATGCAAACAAAAAGTAGATCACAAGCAAATATACGAGGAAGAAGACCCGGGGCTGTAGGTTTCACTAGTGGCTTCTCTCGAGAAAGATAGCAAACGGTGGGTAAACAAATTACTGTTGGGCAATTGATAGAACCTCAAATAATTATGACGATATCCAGGCAATAATCATTACATAGGCATCACGTCCAAGATTAGTAGACCGACTCTTGCCTGCATCAACTACTATTACTTCACACATCGACCGCTATCCAGCATGCACCTAGTGTAGTAAGTTCATGAAAAAACAGAGTAATGCAATAAGGACGATGACATGATGTAGAAAAGATCCATTTATCTATTGCGTAGATATAGATCCCATCTTTTTATCCTTAGTAGCAATGATACATACGTGTCGGTCCCCTTTTCTGTCACTGGGATCAAGCACCGTAAGGTCAAACCCACTACCGGGCACCTCTTCCCATTGCAAGATAAATAGATCAAGTTGGCCTGACAAAACCCAAATATCGAAGAAGAAATATGAGGCTATAAGAGATCAAAGAAACTCAAATAACTTTCATGGATATAAGAAGATATGACTGATCATAAACTCAAAGTTCATCAGATCCAACAAACAAACCGCAAAAAGAGTTACATCATATGGATCTCCAAGCGACCATTGTATTGAGGATCAAGAGAGAGACATGAAGCCATCTTGCTACTCACTACGGACCCGAAGGTCTACAAAGAACTACTCATCCATCATCGGAGAGGTACCAATGGAGGTGGTGAACCCCATCCGAGATGCTGTCTAGATTGGATCTGGTGGTTCTGGACTCTGCGGCGGCTAGATGAATATTTCTTCGACTCCCCTAGGGTTTTGGGAATATTTGGGTATTTATATAGCAAAGAGGCGGTCTGGGGGGCACCTGAGGTGGGAACAACCCACCAAGGCGTGCTGGGCCTCCTGGCACGCCCTAGTGGGTTGTCCCCTCCTCGGGACTCCCCCAGGTGCAACCAGTGTTGGGGAACGCAGTAATATCAAAAAAAAATCCTACGCACACGCAAGATCATGGTGATGCATAGCAACAAGAGGGGAGAGTATCGTCTACGTACCCTTGTAGACCATAAGCGGAAGCGTTATGACAACGCGGTTGATGTAGTCGTACATCTTCACTATCGACCGATCTAGCACCGAAGGTACGGCACCTCCGCGATCTGCACATGTTCGGCTCGGTGACGTCCCGCGAACTCACGATCTAGTAGAGCTTCGAGGGAGAGTTTCGTCAGCACGACGGCGTGATGACGGTGATGATGTTGCTACCGGAACAGGGCTTCGCCTAAGCAGCGCTGCGATATTACCGAGGTGGATTATGATGGAGGGGGGCACCACACACAGCTAAGAGATCAATGATCAACTTGTGTGTCTATGGGGTGCCCCTCTCCCCCGTATATAAAGGAGTGGAGGAGGGGTGGGGTCGGCCCTCTCTATGGCGCGCCCTAGGAGAGTCCTACTCCCACCGGGAGTAGGATTCCCCCTTTCCATGTAGTAGGAGTAGGAGAGAAGGAAGGAGAGGAGAGGAG